ACTGTGTGGATGAAGGGCATGATTCATTATCATTATTTTTCTGGTCTTCCTATCCATTGCTTTTAGTTCTGCTTGAGTCCAGTCCACTATTCCAGCTATGTATCTAATGACTGGAATTGCCCAGGTGTTGATTGCCTTCATGGTATTTTCTCCATTGAGTTTGGACTTTAAGATCTTCTTCACTCTCTTGATGTATTCACCTCTAATCTTGTGCTTGATGTTGTCAGCTTGAAGGATACCCAAGTATTTGTATTATTATTATTATTATTATTATTATTATTATTATTATTATTATTATTATTATTATTATTATTATTATTTATTTATTTATTTATTTATTTATTTATTTATTTATTTATTTATTTATTTATTTATTTATTTATTTATTTATTTATTTATTTGGTAGGATGAAATATTCATATGTTCTTCTTTCACAATATTTGGAAATGACCATTGTTACTCCCTGTGGCAAAGAATTTCACCACAGAGATATTAATTGTAAAATACTAATGATATGTTTTCCTAACCATAACTACTGCATATGGATTTTAGAAGTTCCATGAAAGGGAACCAGCAGAGGTTAATTTGTAGAGAAATAACTAATCTGAGAATGATCGCCTGATATTGTAGTAGTTCAGCCAACAGTAATGAAGCATCCTTGTTAGCCTCAGACTTGGAAACCTTAATTTCATAAGTCATTGAGCTTCCAGTAATAGTAGCTCCTCCTTATCAATCTGACACATTCACACATTTCACATTCAAGTTTAGAAATAAGTTCAAATACCTTTCACACATATTTGAAATCATGTCAGCTTTGCTAACAATTTTGGTACCCACAGAAAAATATACCCATATTTTTATATTCCATTGCAAAAAATTGTGATTGGCTACAGAAAGTCAATATTCCTTCCCATTTACTCCAGTTTTAATCTATGCTTAGTTCTGCACTTTGAATAAAATAGCATTCTATTTTATCTAATTCTTTTGTGCAGCACTAATTATGTTAATTACTTTTCCGAAGGCTACATCTTGTACTAACAGCCAGGATAGTTTGGTATGGCATGAAGAATTGGTCTTTCTCTCTACCACTGATTCTGTAATCAGCATGTAGCCACAGAACAGAAGTTGTGCTATAAGTAAACCAGAGATTAGACTACCATCTAGATTTCTCAGGTTGTGTTCTACAAATATTTTCTAGATCCCAATACATAGTTTTACATTATGTTTAATGTATTAGGACATCATGGTGGAGCACGGTATGTTCCAAATATCTAGTCATTAATCTCCAGGTTTATGCAATATCCAGGGATATATCTGAGATTCTGCTTGCCTCATCAAATCCTATAATTTCTTTTCTATATAGAGCACATGGCTTAAATGGCCAAATACTGTAAGTATATTACCTTGGTCATGTAAAATCTAGAAGCATAGCACTTCCATAATCTAGAAGAAGAAAACAACTTACTACCTTTCCTGGACCAGCAGAGACCACAATGGCAAACTAGAAACACAAGTGTAGAGAAAAAAAACCACCTATACTAAACAAGTGCTGTATACCAAAATAACAACCCAACCTCCCACAAGAGAAGGTGTATAAGGATTTTATTTAGATGAGCTCAAACTCACTGTAGCAACCTGGAACAGCAGAAAAAGAAAGTAGAGTATCCATACAACATACTCCAAAGTATCCACAAAACTTTATAAGAAATGCCTGACCACTCAACCCAATGCAGCACAACCAACACAAACCCTAAAAAGAATTACACTGCTATATACCAAGAATATCACCAATTTCATCAAACCACCCACAGACTGATACAACCACATGAAAACCGCATAGCACACAAGCCAACTAAAGTCCTTCAAAACATACTAAGTAAACCAAATGACCCAGCAGCCCCAGAAGAAAAAACAGGAGTCAGCTACATCATATAATGTAATGCAACAACCATTATGTAGGACCAGCAGGCAGAAGACTGGCAGGAAGCATCCCTGAGCACCAACTAGCAGTCTGAAAACATGATGAAAATTCTTTAATTTTACAACATATGGACAGAATTAACCATAGTTTCAGTTGGGAAAATGTGACTTATCCTAGACCAAGCCAAGTCCAAAACACTAGGGAACACTAGAACCCTGGCACTCTGAGAAATACACTGTACGTCATCAATAAGTTCAATCACATTTCTCACATTAAATCAGCTATTTTATAAAAATGTATAGCATGCAGCAGTCACAAGGACAGTATATGTTAATTCTTAATTCTTTTAATCAAAGAGCAAGCACAGACAAGCTTGTTTGGGACCAGAGTAAAGGGAATGACCTCTCCACTCACTTTCACAGGCAAATGCTTTGCAGCATGCTGAATTTTGTTATTGTTCCCTTTGTAGAAATGCCAATGCAGAACAGGGGATATTAGCAGTGTTCTGGATGACAGAATTTAAGCTACTATACGTATGTGGTGGTCATCATCAGGATTCAGCTCCCTGTGTGCTCATAGTAAAATAAACAAGAAACAAGAGCAGGTCCCTACCACTTACCACAGGCTTAGTCATAATTTGAGTGACAATATCTCCATTAATGAATGGGTAGAAAATTTTCTTATAAGGCTGAAATTAGAGATTTTGCCTATAGTGTACAATTTGAGCTTTGTATCTGCTGATCTTCTTGGCTATAGTTGCTATTATATACACACGGCAATGTGAAATCACCCCTGCAGTTCTTTAACTTTTATTGGCCTTCATACGCATCAAGTTCTTCCCTAGAACCTAGGATGCCAGAATGTATAGTGTAGTATACATGATGTGCAGATGAAAGCAGTGTGGCATTGTGTAATTGACATCTGGAAACATTGCCAATGCTCAGATTTATTAAGTGTCCTTCAAGATTTTTGGGAATGGCACCCAGTTTATACCATAATCTTTCAACTTCAATTTTCAATTCTTGATACTATGTCATCTTATCCAACCCTTTTTATTTTTCAATTCTAATTCTTCTTATATGGGGTTAATCTACAGTTACACTGATTGTCTAAAACTGATGAAACCTAGCAGTTAAAGTCCTAACCATGAACCTAAGAACAATTAAGGTAACCCCTAAGAATATAAACAGTTCCAAACCTGATGGGTATTTTGCATTCATTGTTTATGCCAACTTTTTAATATATAATTCAATGCAGTGAATGTTACTGCGTGCTATTTTCCCAGAAAGTGAATTGGGTTGAGAGGGAAAAAATTTGAAGCTATACTTTAATTAAAGTAAATTGGAACTGCATTTGCTTTCTTTTATCTTAGAATCAGTTTGCAACCAAGTATAATCTGCCCACCCACCCCATTTTTAGAATTAATTACTATTACTGTGTCAGGTATGCTGTGATTGTGAATTCTGTTCCTTAATTGCATTCATTTATAGTAATATCTACTAAATTTCATTTTCAGCTATTCTTGTACATTATTATTGTTGTGAAATCTGTTTATGTCTTCTAGGTAATAATTTTCCTATCCAGTTTGGATAATACAGAGAAAAGTACAGGACTCCCAATTAAATCTAGTTAGTTCCTGCTCAATATTTCACTCAAGTTTAACGAGTGATGGACATTTTTTCAAGTTAGTCTCCATGCAGCTTATATATTAATAACATGCTAGTCAAAGTGAAGTACTCTGCCAGCTGCTTGGTAAAAAAAATATCAAGATATCTTTACAAAATTCTTACAGTCTACTGTGTGAAAAAAATAGATAAGGCAAATCAGGTTTGTGGTAATTATGTTTAATGATAAATCTTTTTATGTTCACAGTGTGTACTCTAAAACTGTCCAGAGTATTGAAGTCGGAGTGACTGGTTTATATCTTGTTGCATTTTCCTTTTCCTCCTTTTTGAAGATAGGAATAACAGTAGATCTCCTCCAGTCATCTGCAGTTCACTGGGATTCCTCAGAGCATCATGGCTCTCATGGTTAGGAGGCTGGATTGGAGGTTAGCAAGCCCACATTAAAGACCAGGAATGTGAAAAGAACCCCCAACTGGGCATCCCGGGTGATCTCTTCCCCTAATCCTTTCAATCCGGGAGCACCTCAATGCTTCTGACACAAGTGTGATGTGACCAGGATTTCTCAAACATAATTCATAAGAGTGTGAAATTTAGTCTCATGTTGGAGATTTTGTTGTCCCCAAAACTGGGTCTTAACTTGGTGTTGAAGCCAATTGAGCACCAAACACAAGATGTGGAACAAAAAAGACTTTTATTTTGGTACCAAGATGAAAGTAGCCCTGGCTTTGAAAACTACCAAGGCCCCAATTACAGTTTTATAGCAGTTTTTATAATCAAAGGTGATTCCACCTCCCAATACACCCCTTTGCCCTCCCCCTAATAATACATGCATAATACATAATATTGATTGGTTACCTGGATTGCAGCCCCCTAAAGCTTTCTTGCTTGCTATGCAAAATAGCTAAATGTCATGCCACTTCTAGTTTTCTGTGCCAGCTATATGGTTTTGGGGTTTCTTGTAAGTGATCTATTCATGTACCCAACATCCTGGCTAAGTGGTTTCTGACAGATGAACTTGTGAATCTGTCTCACTTCATTGCTCCTGTAGCCCCCTCACTCACTCCCCCACTCAACCCCCTCCCAGCCCTCCTTGCAATGCTATCAAGTATGTCGTTAGGAAGCTTGTACTGCAAAGAAAAAGTTGTGTAATTGTCTAAGAGTAAATGTTTCTCTCACAATTCATCTTCCTCACTCTCATGTCCATCACACCCACACCTGGGTCCTATCTCCACATAGGACCCTTCTTATGATTCCCAGGGCCTCATCTGCACATATATTCTTTCATCTGACCCTTCATTTAAACACATTGAAATAAACAGATATTCTTCCCCATCTCAATCTTGCCTCTTCATTTTTTTTAAGAAAAGTGCCTCCGAGAAAACATGTACTACATATACAAATATATTATCTACACACACATGTATATATTATTTACAGATATTGTTGTTGTTATATCACTGTTTATCTTTGTTACATCTCTCAAAGCGTTGCCTAATAGCTTGCAATATACTTCCTGGGATTTTCTGATGTTTGTCCCGTAAAGCCTCCATTGCCCTTTGAGTCTGTTGGAAAGGTGGAGTGGGATGACATGGGATGGGATGGGGAAGAGAAAGAAAAAAAGGTGATATAATTAGATTTATGTTTCGGCATTATAGAGAGAACATTTCAGAACTAAAAGAGTTATGGCAAAGATTTTTTTTCTATTCCTACTGATGCCATACTGTACATAATCAGATAAAGCACATTTTTCCATTGAGTTAAACCATATGGTACATTAAAATAGATGGTGTAGAACTACCTCTCTGCCTACATTCAGTAGTATAATTAAAAAAACAGAATAGAAGTTGGATATCTTTTATTTAATTTGCTCCTAACTGTGGCTTGTTGAATAAACCACTATTGTCTGGATTCAGCTTTTTCTTGAAAAACATGAACCTCAGTTTAAATGCTACAATATCTGATTGCTCAGAACGTGCAAATCCCAAAGTAAATTAACTGGAGTATGGCTTTGTAGGCTGTGTGACCCTAGGCTTTTGCAGCTGACTTTCCCTCTTGCATATCGTGTCCAACCCATTTTACCTCTAAGGAGAAAATGCTCCATTCTATTGGTCAGAGAAATAAAGAGTCACAAAATATAGAAAGGTACTCTAAGTGGTATAAAAAAGCTATAAATGTGACTGAGTTGAATCATTTTGTCATTCAACTCGTATAATTAATGTAGTGATATTTACCAGCATTACAGACTGAACAGGAGATATCTGGAAGTTTTGACTGGTACTTGGATTTGTGAAGGACTGGAAGGATAAGAGTTGAGTCCAAGGAAGACAAATTTATTATTATATTGAAACCATCTGATTACATGAAATTTCTATCTACTGATCTTGACGTGGTTGCGGTCACCCAGAAAAAGTTGGTATGCAATTTGGGGTATTCCTGGACTCATAGCTTCTGCTCAAACAGGAGATTGAAGCTGTGCCCTAAACAGTCTACAAAAGCTGTACCTATTCTTGGACTAGGTGTTCAGACAGTAACTCCTGCCTTTGTTATTTCTCAAAATGTTTTCATGTATTCTATGTGAAGCTGCTACCAAGAAGTTGGAGTTGTTTGCAACTAAAGTTCTTAGGGCTTTTGTATGATAGTTATTTGATTGATGTTTTCATTTAAGCTTACAGTTAGCCATGTTGAGTAATTTAAATAATTGATATTTAAACACTGATGGATGAATGGAAGGATGGAGGGATAGATGGATGGCCGATAGTCTTACACTGACAGTTATGTACCAAACACTCAACTATACTTATGCACATCTAGGTAAAGTATTTCAATAACTGCTTACAATCTGTTACTATAGAGTTATAATTTCATGAACAAAGTGTTAATCTGAATGTATATTTTCCCCTTACAATAGAATACACTTACTTTTTCAGCTAATTTTTCAGGAGTTATATCTGGATCATATGGAATTGGTTTTCCAATATGGCTTATAAGTTTAACTGGAAACATTCCATATAATGGAAAGGTAATCCATCGGGTTCGCTCATATAACCATCTCATTGGTCCTGTGTATAAGATTTAGAAAATCTCAGAAACAATTTTAGCAAAGTGCAAAGTTTCATATTAGTCTTTGTTAGAGACCTATATTCAAAAACTAGCAATTTTTAGTAGTGGTATCAGAAGTTACTAATGTAAAGGTTTTCCAGTTGGAAGAGAAGAGAATAAGCTATCATATTTGGGCCTTACAATTTGCAAAGTTTAGCTTAGATTTTACAAAGGTTTGAAAATTAGAGTTTAGAAAAGCAGGCTAATCCAGACATGTAAACACACACACAGATCCCAGAAGACTGATAGATGGTAGGGTGATGGATAAGTAGACAGACAGACAGACAGTTTCCAGAATAAGCACAATGAATTTACAGTAATTTCTGCAATTTCTGGGTAAACCTTGTGTCCATATAATCCCATGATCTTATGTCAATTATAGGAAATGTATTGAATCAGGTTTTCTAGCAAAGCTCTGAAGTTCTGTAGAACTCAGAGTTAGATATTTTCATATATTTCATATTCATATATCTATATATTCATTCAGCATTTTGATGAAAGATGAAAAGAGATTAGACAGTCTTTTATCATTTGTTGTTCTTTAAATGATCTTCATAAAAAGTATTAAATGTACATACTCCCAAATTAAACTACATCAATTATATTTTTAAAATATTTATAGCCCAGGTTTAGCTATTGCTGCTTGAGTTACAGTATCATTGAAATTAAAAATGGCAGAAAAAGATGCAGATGCATAGATTTATAGCCTTAAAAGTAATAACATTCCTGAGAATACATAAAGTTTTACTTACTTATATTTCCAAATGTTACATATCCTTCTCTAATATTTTGTGTAAATACAGGGATGATTGGCTAGAAGAAATAAAAGAAACAAATAATGAGACTATTTTAGTCACTGTACATGAAAGAAATGAAATGTATTGTTTGGACGTAAAATAGATCTTTGAGAACCTAATGTGGATAATATATGTTGCCAAGGTCATTGCATCTTTTGACCTCCTATCAGATATTTTCTTGTGAGATTTTAAACACTGCAACAGCTGCATTAGCCTACTAAATGTAGTTTGAACTCAGCTTCTAACATGCTGAACTATCCTTCATTCTTTCTTTAGTGCTGAATTTTCATGCATCTAATCTCAGTCAGCATCCTTGGGCAAATGCTGGGTTTTGCTGTTCAATGTAGGAGAGGGATTATCGTGGATGAACTTTCCAACTGCCACTTCCTCTTTCATAGTTCATTCTAGGAAAGTGACATAAAAGTGTGAACCATCTTTTATTTAAGATTTTGGTGGGGAATAGGTTATTCCTTCATGGAGGAGAAGTAAATCAGAGTATATTGCATATTTCATCTACAAATCTATATCAGATGGCAAATTGAGGCTGCAAAGATTCTCCAGAAACAGGAGATATTATGAGATGCCAACTTGCACTCCTGACAGCTGCTTCTTATGAATAGACTGCAAGGACTGAAGTTTTTGTGGTTGGCTTATGAGCTGAGCGGCTGGGCTTTGAGACAATACAGTCAGGATTACTACCATAATTTTTCATATATGGATGGAAAATTCACACAAGCCTCATTTCTTTTTTTAAAAAAAATATTTTATTAATTTTCTATTTTTACAATCAAGTGCTTAATAGGCACTCCTTTCTGTTATTTTTAATCTCATCACAAGCTAAAGTAACTTTATATTGACTGATGAGTATGATAGATTTGGGGGTGGAAGTCCATTTGCATGGGACAAAGACTTTCAACGGAATTTATGATACAAACAATGAGAAAATATTGACATATGGAGAGATCAATGTCTTTCTCTTGTAAAAATTGGTGTTAAATAAGGGGTTAGAATAGAGTGATCTCACCACAATTGAACAGAACATCATAAAATCACTCAAGGCAAATTGCCAAAAGTTTTCTTTGATTTGATGGAGAAGTTAAGTCTGATTGATATATGGAGACAGAAAAAACTGGCAATTCAAAAGAGTATATTTATTTTTCTGAGAAATATAGATTCTTCTCAGGAATATACATGATTTGAATTTCAAAGAACTTGGCTGAAAGGATTTCTAAAGTCACAATATAACATAATATGAACTTAAAAAGAAGAGTCAGTAGAGAATACAACCTATTTTGGAAAAACCAAACAGGAAAGAAAGAAGATTCCAGAGGAGATAAGTATTCCTCAACCTTTACAATGGCAATTATCTATGGTAGCAGTGAAAATGGAGTGTATAGATGAACTAGGGATATAGCTAGCATGTGAATTACAAAAAGAAAAAGAAGAGAAAATAATATTGCAATTAGAAGAGGGAGTCACTGCATGAATGGAAAATGTCATCAAAGAAAACAAATTCCATAAATATTATATGAAGGTGACAGCGTTCTAGAGATAATAGAAGAATGAATAAAGAAACCAAATTTATGGAACATTACAGAGGACATATTTGCCATTTCCTGACCTGTCAAATCTGATTGGTGGTTGCATCTGCCTTCCTGTACATTTGCAGATAAGCAAATAAATAAATAAATAAATGATATGAAATTGAAACATGGCATTTAGAAATACATATTGCAATTAACAGCAACACTAGGAAAATAATGTAATGATAAATGGCTCACCACTTTTGCATCTATAGCTATATGAGCAAATCCTTTCCTGTTCCACCATATTATCTTGTAGTGGTTATTTCCATAGTTCTGCTCTCGCAGTCCTCCTGGTGAAACCATCAGCTGGTGTCCTTGTTTCAGAATGTTTACGCTCTTTTCTCTTGTAGGATGAACAGCATAATGGAATAAGCGGCACATATGTAATCCTGCAAAAGCAGACCTATGAAATCATTCTGTTCTTCCTTGTAAAAGAAAACCAAATAGACATATTTCCACCATGATAATTCATCTAAGTCTTTGAAGAAGAAAAATTGGACTTCCCAAGTCAGTGAATCAATATCTTTTGAAAATAATTAGAACTAAACTTACAGTATTTTTATTGTATTTTTTTACCTGGTAGATGAAAAACAATATGATCCATTACAGAATAGAAGGGTTTCCCAGTAAGTCTTAAAATCTTATGGATAAAAAAATAGTGGTCTATTGGTATGGGTCCATGGTAATAAACAAAGATCGCTGGTTCTTTTGGTAGATTTTCTAGTCCAGAAATCTCATAACCTGTTAATGGTAGAACAATGAAATGGCTTCAATATTGTTTCACAAGGGTCTCCTCTAGAAAAAAATAAGATCATATAGAAAAATAATTATTTTCTTAGCTTTCTTAGCTTACTTGTGAAGCTTAATATTTTAAATCATATGTCATTCCTCAAACAACATGCTGTCACATCAATCAATCAGTCAATCAATCAACCAATCAATCAGTCAGAATCTTCTGAGATTTGAATGTTATTACCTTTCTGATCCTGCATATTCTTTCTAATTTGATATGAAGTCACTTAGATTCGTACCAATTAAAGTGACATAAGAGCTTATTTTTTTTTCAAATATCTCAACATTATCATAGGATATTTGGGGCATTTTAAAACATTTTTAAAAGACAACTTTGGTATTCCGCTTACTTTTTCCAGAACTATTAACAGACATGTAAAACGTATGATGTCTATATTGTGGCATGCCAAAACCATGGAAATGATGGCTTAGTATAAAATGTAAAGCCACCAGCTTTGAACAGTTACTAAACAGACTGAAACTTTAGGACTTTACAGGTAATCCTTCACTTTGAATCAGAATTGGGCCCAATTTCAGTTGTTGAGTGAAGCAGTTGTTAAGCAAACACCATGTCGCCCCTTTGCTCCATGATGACAATCCTAACTCTCCCAGTCGTGGTCATTAAGTGACTACAGAGGTTGTTAACTGGAATGCTGGGAGGGCTTCCTGGGAATGATGGGGTGGGATAGGGCAGAGGCTTCCCATTACACCCAGAGGTCCTGGTCTTGGTCCCCATTCCAAAGGGGAGAACAGTGGTGCATACTATGCTTTCCCAAGATTTGAGGTCCATTCCTACAGCATGCTGAAGGATTTCCTGTCTTGGGAACATTCATTAAGCAATATTTGCCTTTTGATGTTTTGTAACATTAGACATGAAAAATATTCATTTTTCTTTTTCTTTAGGAATATAATGATTCCCAAGTTCCCAACATGTACATGCCTAGATATTTCTGGTAATCTATGGTTATATATAAAACGTTTGTCTTTTTGACTTTTAAAAATATTCCTGCAACCACTCTGCTGAGTTATGGATTAAGACAACTCCTTCATACAGTTTTCAAGCCACACAAATAAGGGAGTTTCTTCACTAGTTGCTGAAGCATTTTTACAAAAATGAATTATACATAAATTGACACTTTACATCCTCAGTCTTCCATTCACATTCTCCACGATGCACATGACTGCTGGTCATGGTTGGCCAGAAGAATGATGCTAAAGAAGGAATAAAGTCATACTTACTGTGCAGTATCTTTCCATGCCACTCAGCTGCCAGTGCCAAAAATTGCTTTGGCTTGTCCCATTCTTGGCTATTGATATCTTCTGGCAGATTGCCAATTTTTTTCCATACAAGAAGTATTGCATTGTAGACATATAACAGAAACAAAAAAAACACAAGGGGATAATATAATATTATCAGAATCCCTATCAAAGTTAAGGGATATAACATAAAGCCTGCATATTCTTTCAAAGTGTAAGTTGACCAGATGACAAATTCATTTCCTAAGGTATAATATATATTTTCCACAGTCATGTTTGAAATCAGACTATATAAGGAGAATCCGTTCACAAATAAAGTATTTCTTCCTGGAAAAGAAAAAATAAACATATAAACATACTTTATTATGAGCTCTGGAAAGACAGCAGAATATCAGGATGGCAATGCATACATGGTAATGAGACTTTCAAATAGCCTTAGGAGAAGATTGGGCTGAGATGGTTAAAAAAAGTCAAGCTTAGTACAATCAATCAGATTATTGATCTTTTAATCATACATTACTGGTATGGAAAGGCTTTCTTTTTAACCAACCAAGAAAGAAAAGGTTTAATAATGACCAGCCAAAGATGTCTGTTTAGAAGAAAATCCTGGAGTTTAGAAACAACTTGTTGCTTTTTGTGCATATAGGACAATTCTGGACATCCTGTTTAAAATCAGGCAAACCTTTTCTTCCTTGGTGATGACCATTCTTTTCCTTAAACTTCACGGCCCTTTATTTTTATTAAAAAGAAGTAAATTTTAGATTCTTTGCAAGAAACCCACTTTTCTTTTCCCTCTGCTAGAACCTGGCCAACATTGAATGGTATCTCCAAACCTATAGCTGTTTCATCTGCAGGCTGATTGTGATGAAGAGAGCAAGGGTGCTATTTAAAAAGATCAATCTGCTAAAATGTTGACAAATTAACTTCAAGACCATCATCACCATGAATTTCAAAATACTCCTCTGGTAATTCTTTCATAGAGAAAATATCAGGGATGAATAAAGCATACCACATCAGTCTCCAAAAAGCGTCCATTGTGCTACTCAGCTTACTACTACTACTACTACTACTACTACTACTACTACTACTACTACTACTACTACTACTAATAATAATAATAATAATAATAATAATAATAATAATAATAAAGTTGGAAGGGACCTTGGAGGTCATCTAATCCAACCCCCTGCTCAGGCAGGAAACCCTATACCATTTCGGACAAATGGAGAATAGCTTGACTCCCTCTTCTTTGTGGCAGCCCCTGAGATATTGGAACACTGCTATCATGTCCCCCCTCGTCCTTCTCTTCATTAAACTAGACATACCCAATTCCAGCAGCCATTCCTTATATGTTTTAGCCTCCAGTCCCCTAATATTTTTGTTGCTCTTCTCTGTACTCTTTCTAGAGTCTCAACATCTTTTTTACATCGTGGTGACCAAAACTCGATGCAATATTCCAAGTGTGGCCTTACCAAGGCATTGTAAAGTGGTATTAACACTTCACGTGATCTTGATTCTAGCACTGTGTTAGCTTTTTTGGCAGCTGCAGAATACTGCTGGCTCATATTTAAGTGATTTTCCACTAGGACTCCGAGTTCCCTCTCACAGTTACTACTATTGAGCAAGGTACCCCCTATACTATACCTGTACATTTGGTTTTTCTTGCCTAAATGTAGAACCTTACTTTTTTCACCACTGAATTTCATTTTGTTAGATAGCGCCCCATTCTAGGCATCCATGCAGAGAACTGGTTGTTCAGGTATATGAATCTCACCACTGAATATAAGTGCTTCATACTAGCTTTATTTAAGGACTTCCACAACATCACAGACCAATCCACAATAAGATAAAGAATAGCTTATCTCAAATGTATCATTAGGGAAACTCTCTGATCTGCTGATGCAATGAATATTTCCTCTCTTTGTTTTCTGTAAGCTCAAAGAACCTCTAGCAGAAGACAGATAGAAATAATAGAATATTCCATGTACTCTAACAAATGGTATCACTATAAGCCTCTCTTCTTGGCTTTGGCCATAAATGAAAGGAAAATAGCAGTAATATTTCAGATTCTGCAGGTATTTGAGGAGCCTCTTCAGAAAGTCGATAAAATCTTGGAATAATATTCAGTTTTGTGCAAAATGATTCTACAGCACTTCATCTGATGAAAAAGGATAATTCAACTCAATTTCCTTCAGAATGAAGGTATAATTTATATATTAATATCCCCTCACCAGCCAACCTTTCTGCAATAAAAATATTACTCTCAATTCAGAATCAAAGCATTAACGTAGAAGCCCCAAAGCTTATAAACAATCCACACCTTATTGCTTAAAAATAGAAAGGAAGCCTCTCCTTTTACCTGCATGTCACAATCCTTACCTCTTTCAAACAGCTTGCTTGGAAAATCAGTTTTACTTTGATGTAATGTGCTTTTAAATGAACAAAGGTTCCATTCTCCTCCCTCAGAGGGTGGAGTGAGAACAAACTCAATTCAAATAATCATGACCTTGAATTAACCATCCTTTTAGCTAATGCCAACTGACGCTCATTTTTAACTGAAGAACAAACAGTTTAAGAAATGAGAATTAAGTCTGCTCTAACTGTTTTCATGGTGCCTGTGTTTAATCATCCTCAGGTGACTCTTTGTTTTGTATTCTCCTGAAGCTGACATTCCACTTGGTTCAGCAGGAGCAGCTTCATCTGAGTCTGAGTCTGAGTCCTGAGCCATGATACCTTTTGGAGTCTATGATCTGATCCAATCTAATCCAATGCAGGGAGGGCATGTTGTGGCTTCCATCCACAAAGGAATATCATCTGATGGGACCCAGGAGAAGAGTATTTTGTGTTGTGGCATCTGCCCTTTGGAATTTCACTCTCCCTGAAGGCTGGAGCAGACTTCTCCAGGACTGCATTTGAGGGAACATATGTGTCTGTTGTTCGGCTATGATTGCATAGGCGTTCTTCTTATATGTCAGCATATTTTAACATTTTCCACTTGAACGTGCCTTGCTTTCCCCCACTTCCCAGCAGGAAGTCAGAACCAATCGGCATGCAGGGTGGTCTCCTCTTCAAAACATGCACTTGGGAGTTGGGAGGTATTTGCATTGGTCCGTCTGCAGCTCTTTGCAAGCTCTGCTTATCCATCAGGCCCTTTTCGGCATAGGTATGTGACAACGGCTACTGGCAATTGCACAACTCTAAATCAGTCTAGCGTC